TTCCGTTTCACGCGCAAATATTTTGCCACCACTTGCCCACGCGAAGCGCCAGTTCATTTCCCGTTTCTGAGCCCCGCCGCGGTGGTCTAGTGGCTAAGGTACTCGGCTGCTGACCCGCCGGTCGCGGGTTCGAATCCCGGCTGCGGCGGCTGCATTTCCGATGGAGGCGGAAATGTTGAGGCCCGTGTGCTCAGATTTGGGTGCACGTTAAAGAACCCCAGGTGGTCAAAATTTCCGGAGCCCTCCACTACGGCGTCTCTCATAATCATATGGTGGTTTTGGGACGTTAAACCCCACAAATCAATCAATCAATTTCCCGTTTCTGAGCAATCGTCATACCCAGCAATTTTTTCAGTTGGGGACAAAGTTGCTCATTTACGAAAACAGACTGTTTAGTTGTGACTCTCAGTTCCTCAGCTGTGAATCGAGTTCTCTGTGCTTTCTTAACGAAGACATCCCTCTTAGCTCTGTGATTGAAAACAACCACAATGTTTTCGTTCAGGGGGGCGTCACTGCCTGCTCTGCTAACCCGATCGGAAACAGCGCTTGCGTGAGGGCGTACCTCGTTGTTCTTTGCAACACCTGGGTCTGGTGCCGTGTTACTTTGCGAAGCGGCACTCCTCGCTGGCAAACGGTGGCATATTTTCATGTCTTGTTCACTTATTGGCTCCCCCAAGGCGTCACCAACTTTGGCAAGCAATTGCACAAGGTTTTTATTAGGGGTATGTGGGATCCCTTTAATTTCTATATTTTTTGTTTCGAGAGTATTGATCCTGAGCAGTTAGGCGCGTGGAATTTTCATGCACCAACTTTCTCAAACGGTCTATCTCACATTGCATTGCCTCTTGGGACGCCCTGAGAGCAGCGTTTTCCTTTCTAATTTCAGCGCACTCTTGTTTTATATTTTCGTAGTCTTTGTTCATGTGGTCAAGGCTTTTGTTTAACTCTCTGATTTTTTTCCGAGTGTCGCGTTTGAAGTCCGCGAACTCAGTACTCATGATTAAAGGCCAGTTACAGATTCAACAGTGGGCAAAACAAGTACAAACTTTGAAAAATAGGCAACAGAGATAGCACTGGATAGCAAATGAACTATACAAAACAGGAGAGCAAATGCCTAACCTGGGAAAACAACAGGAATAAGCGTCCCCGTCGTATGCTGTCCCTGCTGCCAAGTGATTGAGGGAGGCGTTGCCGCTGTCTTTTTGAAGGGCCAGGGGTGGTTGATGTCACGTGGTATGGTGCCGGGCGCAAAAACGTAGCCGGTCGGTCAGTGCGGCACTCTTGCAAGGCGCTGGATGCAGCAGGCTCCACTATCAACGCTGATAGTCAGCCACGGTACACCTCGAACCCCTGAGAAAACAACAGGAATAAGCGTCCCCGTCGTATGCTGTCTCTGCTGCCAAGTGATCGAGGGAGGCGTTGCCACTGTCTTTTTGAAGGGCCAGGTGTGGTTGATGTGACGTGGTATGGTGCCGGGCGCAAAAACGTAGCCGGTCGGTCAATGCGGCACTCTTGCAAGGTGCTGGATGCAGCACGCTCTGCTATCAACGCTGATAGTCAGCGACGGTACGCCTCGAACACCTGGGAAAACAACAGCATTAAGCGTCCCCGTCATATGCTGTCCCTGCTGCCAAGCAAACGTCATGCCCATATTTAAGTCCTGATACAAGCAAATAATACCAAATTGTAGGCTTTAAATTTGCTTGCTACCAACTTTAAATTTTGGAGTATATCATTAACAAATACACTCTAGAATACTTAAATGCACACAATATACTTCCCCTATCTTCTTGCAGCTTTAGTGCTGGCTATTTTACTGTCACACAGTTGCTTTACTTTGCACATGAGATTAATTCTTCCTTTAACAACCGAAAATGGATTGATGCCATATTTATTGACTATTCCAAGGTCTTTGGCATGGTTGGCCATACCAAAGCTTTAGCCTCTTCGCCACTTCTTTGCGACAACTCGGTGGTTGATTGAATAGCACATCACTTGATGTCTCGCCCATAATTTGCTATGTTTAACCACGCGAAGTCATTTGAAGCACATATCACATCAGGAAGGAGGCTGAAGGGTCTATTTTTGGGCCGTATTTGTTCATTATTTATATAAAGGACGGAGAAGAAATTGTCGGTGATACTGAAATATACTCAGAATGTGTGCAGACTACTGCATTCTCTGTAGAACCATCCCTAATATTCAAGATCAAGATGCCCTGAATAGCATTTTTTTTCATCATTTTGTAATGGAAGTGAAACAAAGCAAACTTCAATAATACTAAAGTCATGGCCTTTTTCAAGTAAGACATAGCCTCTTCATTTTATATATGCTAATGACAGTGTAAGTCTTGTAGGTGTTCTGTAGGTAAACAGATTGGTGTAACTTTCACAGCTAACTTAAAATGGCACACATACTATGCTGGTCTTGCAGCTCGCATTTGACGGGTCAAAGCGTCCGCTATCCAGCCAGTTAACGGTCGAACACTTGTGAACATGTAAACAAAAGTAACTTTAATTAACAGGAATTGGGGTCACATTTTAACAAACATTCACGAACACTCCGTAAGTCCCCCATAAAAAAGCGGTGCTGTTGCTCGGGCAGGTAGGGTGAGTCTGCCCGCCGCCTGGCATTTCTTCTTCCGTCGACGACCGGTCCTTTACTCTCTCCGTGAGCCGATAGAGAAGATGACAAATGACGCTCTGAAGGTCGTTTGCGGCGCCGTTTAAAGTGGCCATAACAAAGGAAAAAGGATTTTCAAGACGTAGGAGTAGCCCTTGTTAGGGGCCTAAGCGTCCCCCCGACTTCCTTTGGCGGCACTTGAAAGGCAAACACGGCTCCTGGCCGCTCTCTCCGAGAGGGGACGGCACACGTACATTGAATCAATCTGCAACAAGCTCTTCGAGAACTGGTGTCTGCTACGTATGTTAAGCTACTGGGCAAAGGAATGCTGACCGACAGTGCATAACACTTTGGTCGACTTGAATATATGTTGGTTGTTTGGTTGCCTCACCACAGAGATGACATAGTTATATATGTAAGAATCTATATAAAGATAAAATATTGCTTAGGCTGCTTTATTATGACCTGTGACTTTCCATGCGCATGTTCTAACGCAGCAGCCGCTCTCGAACATCGGCGCACTTGCATTTTTGTCATCTCCCTACATATATAAATAAGACAATTCACACTGGTTAAAGTGTTCTAGCACCCATATCATTCGTTGAATCTTCTGCACATCATACCCGGCGATTTGACCCTCTAGATACTGTGCCCATTAGATATATTCAGAATTGTTTTTGTTTTGGTTTTTTATTGTTTTTGGCTTTTTTTCAGAACATGTATTCTTGAAATGAGTTCGCTGGGCATCGGCGCAAACTCAGTGCTGAGTAATTGGAAAAAAGAATTGCGTAAACTTGTGTTTTGTTGAAATTATATTTTTAGAAGTTGCTGAACATTTGCATTTGCCCCTGCTGTGTCTCGTACATTGAGACAGCAGTCTTTGTAAATAAATAACTTTAGAGCATGCTGCTAACACGCTAACTGCTTCACCCTTTCGGAGAAAATGATTTTCTGTTTCAAAATTCAAGGGACGAGTTTCTTTCCCCACCAACTCCTGAATCATAAACCTCTCACAGTTGCGCCCCGGTGGGGTGGTCTTGTGGCTAAAGTACTCTGCTCCTGAGCGCAGGTCGCGGAATCGAATCCCGGCTGCGGCGGCTGCATTTTCGATGGAGGCGAAAATGCTGTAGGCCCGTGTGCTCAGATTTGGGTGCTTGTTAAAGAATTTCAGGTGGTTGAAATTTCCGGAGCCCTTCACTACGGTGTCTCTTATAATGATATGGTGATTTTTGGACGTTAAACCTCGCGTATCAATCAAATCAATTTCACGGTTGCGACGGCAGTAACCTGTGTGTTGCTTATTAGCGATGATAATATCAATCTGTACGCTACTCGACTCTGATAGCTTGTGGTCATGTTGGAGTGTAATGAAAAAAAAAACATCCTCATTGCGCTTTTCCCCCACTTCCAGCCAAATGACTGCAGCTCACAACGGTTTTCCGATATGCTAACTGACAAGCAGACGTGAAATCACGCTCTTTTCTTTTGCTGTTCTTTTATGGGTGGGTCGTGCCTTGTAATTTCAAGAAATCATTAAAAGTGATGCGATGGACATCAGTCATGAAAAGTGAGTGTGTTTCCAGGCTTTGGCACCAGTCGGCGCCACGATAACACCACTTGGATCGCATATGTCATCGTTACTAGTGCATTATCGCTAAGAATGATAAGTGTGGAATGTATCACACTGAACATGTAGCACGAGGAGTATCGATGTCACAGGGCACTCTGCTTTCCGTTGAGCTCTTGTAGGCTGTTTGCCATCAAAATAAAATAACTTCTATGCGACGGACATGATTCAAATTTGGCCAAGAAGACCTACACATACAAAGCAATTGAATGAAGGGCACATCTCGAGTCTGAAATTTGATGTCATTGCTCCCTAAACTTTGTGAAAATATGGATGCCATGTGACATGAACTGTATCTCTGTTTATTCTGTCTGTTTGCATTTAGTGTCTCTCCCTTGTTAACTAGATAACAGTCTAGCGTGATCTAGTTGCCATGGAAAGGTAAATGATAGGTGTAACCTTAAGAGACAGGAAGAGAGCATAGTGGGTCAGGGAACAAACTGCTTTTAGGTACATCATAGTTGAAATCGAGAAGAAGAAATGGACATGGGCTGTGCATGTTACGCATAGGCTGGATAACCACTGGTCTTCAATGGTAACTGACTAGATTCCTAGAGAAGGCAAATGGGTGAGAGAGAGGCAGAACATCAGGTGAGCAGACGAGATAACGAAGTTTACAGCTATAACCTGGCAGCAGCAAGCACAAGACTGAGGTGACTCGCGGAACATGGGAGAGGCTTTTGCCCTACAGTGGCCATTGTCAGGCTGATGATGTTAACTGCTGCCCTGCAGATTCCTTGACCTCGTACAGATACACGCAGAATGGCATCTTACACATGCTTGATCGGAACCGGCGAATCAAGCCCACGCCAGAACGCTTTCAGAGCTGCTACGACAAATTTGATGTCATCTTTACTGTGGAGGAGCGAGTCTACGATCAGGTGGTAGAGGGTGAGTAATATGTTGTTGCTATTGGCCCACTTGACGCTGTAACACACTCCCTGAGGCCCACAACAGCATCTTGGTAGGCTTCCGATTAGGACTATTGTGAATGTGAGGGTTGTGGTGTGTCAGGCATGGCGTGAGGGATCCGGAAAAATGTGCGATAAGCGACTTGTTTAGGAAAGAGCATTGAGTATGCCGTACTATTTTTTTCCCTATATATTATTTTTTATTAAGAGCGTGTAAACAGATTTGGTTGTGGATTTCTGTTAGCTAGCCATCTTCTGTCACGAGGCAGTCTAATAGGGTCTCTGCTGTCAGCCACTTCCTGCATTGTTACTTCATTATCAAAAATATTGTTGTTTTTCTTGCAATAGTATCCAAGTTACTGGGCCAAGAAGGAGTTGTGAGATGTCTACCCCTCTGTGTAGCTTATTAGAATCTTTCTGTATTCATATTACACAGGCATTTAAACAATAATCTTATCGTGTGCACTGGAAAGTCAAAATTACGCTAAAACACCAATGTTCACTCAGCCGCATTCTCTTTGTCGATGTTGTCACCTTGTGATTGTCTGAAAACCCATAGGTCTTGCCTTTTTGTCCCAATGCTCCTTGTAGCGTATGGCAATACCTCTAGATGGCAGTACTAATTATATAGTGTACAACAGTACTGCCAGATGGCAGCGCAGCATGTCCTGCTCTCCATAATAAGGGCTGCCAATAAACATGACATCACTTGTCCTCCCATAGACTCTTCTGTCATATCGCTTACTTGTCCAATGCGCTCGACACGCCTCATGGGAAATGGCCTTATAGAAAAACGGCAACAAGAATAGAAGAAGTTGTACCTCATATTGGCTGGTATGGCAACAGCCTGTGTACCTACACTACTGTCGGATTGCTGAATTGTTACAAGAGCTTCGTTGACCTCCAACCTTTTTGCTGGATCACTTTGTTATATACAAACAGACTGCAACACCTGTGCCAGTTAAGCTAATTTGGTGCAGTTTATTTTTGCCCCAAGCTGCTCTACAATGCCCGAGTAGCCTCAGAGTTTTCTTAGTTCCACTAACATCAGAAAATAACAGCTGTGTATGCCGTTTTCAGTTTTGTTGCCTTCATTCAGTAAAGTTGCACAAGGGTGATTCCACGAGAGATCGACACTGGTCCAAAAGTTGATATTTTAGATTTCATTGAGTATTTTATATTTCGTGCACCTCTCACCAGGTAGCCCGAAAGTCAACTTCGTTTTATGATTAACGGCATAACTTACGAGAAAAAAATATCAGACTTCACCAACACGGAGGCACCAATTTCGTCACCTGTCATTTTCGAAAATAGCAGATGCTATAAAACGACAAATATTTTTGTTTCAAGGAAGATATTTTTTACCTGAAATGCATGTCTAATAAAGAATGAATTCATACGGTTTCAAGTTTGTAGACCTTAAGAAAATAGCTTTTAAAAATGTCTAATTTTGCGACAGTTTTAAATAAGTTACGTATTCCGCACTTTTTTTCTCCGAAAGTAATGCAAGCAGCGTTTTCAAACTTGACACATTTTAAGGATACAGTGTATTCATTAGGTGCATAAATTATTGCTGCCGTAGGGCAAATGTAAATTTTTATATATTGCCTCAAAGTTCTCATATTAGCAAAAGTGTATTCCACTGAAATTTGAATAATAAAAAAACTTCATCTTCGATTTTTCTTAAAATTTCGTAAATAGACAATCGAAGGCCATCATACAGTAATATAGAAAAACATGTTGCATTATTTTGTTTTTAGCGACAATATTTGTGGTACAAATCAGAGCTTTTCGAGAATGCGCTGATAAGTTGAGAAATCTAGAAATCGAAACGGAAAAGCGGCAATAAGCTTCAAATGCGAGTAAATGTGACCGCATTTGGTGAAGAGAGGCTGTTTTAGCAGATAGGAGTAACTATTTTGAACACGGTATTCTACAGTATCTGAATTCACTTTTATACGTAGAGCACTGAGACTTCTAATATGTGGTGCCTCTCCATTACTGACACACAGATGGAGCTGCTGTGATGGCCATGTGTTTGCAACACGTTGGGTAAAAGAATTGAATGTTGAATGAGTTCATAAATGATTCATAACAAATTTTTATCATTTGGGGCACGAAGACTGCTGCATTAGACTGAAGAACACGCTTTAGGGCAAGTTGTCATTCGTCGTCTGCTCTACAGATGAATTGCTGTGTGCCGCATCTCAGAGACAATGCTTTAGATCATGTGGTTCAAAGTAGGGACAAAGATTGCGCCTCCCGTATTTTTATCAACAAAAACATTGTGAAATTCATTTTAGCGTATTATACTTCAGTTTTGCATTCACACTGTGGATACTTGTGCGCAAGTATCCACAGTGCGAATGGAAAACTGAAGTAGAGTACGTTAAAATGAATTTCACAATGTTTTTGTTGATAAAAATACGGGAGGCCCAATCTTCCCAAAAAAGCTCTTTTTTAAGTGCAAGTGCATTTCTTTGTCAGGCGTCCATCAGGATCCGCTCATCGCTCTCTCCCATAGAAACAGCTGCGGGCGCGCGCTGTTGCTCCTTAACAATCGGAACCCCCACCATGTCACGCTTCGGCGTCGGCAACTGTCAGCAACAGCTGAAGGCACGCGCGCTTGTCGTCGCTTCTAGCAACCGGACCTCCCACTTCCTTGACTTGAACGGGACTTGCCACTACCTCAATGCAGTGTGTTTGAAATGTGTGTAGCGTTTGTGCTGCCGGCATTTTTTAACCGTGTACGCTAGCTATTAGAGCTGGAAACGCTTAGCGCGTTCCTCGCGACAGAAAAACACCACACGCGAACAACGTAATTGGCTGCACAGTGTAAGAAAAAAAAAAACATTTATTCTAACGCTGGGTTCTCACGTGCAAAGCGCCATCATGGGCACAATGCATTCGCATTTCTTCAGAATCCCCTTCGGGGAGGTGGGCGCATTTTTTTTTATGCTTGTTGCTCTGCATGGTCATACAACAATTAATGCAGATACACTACATAACGAATGTGCTGTCAGTGCTCTAAAAGCTGGAATACCTGTTCCAAATCAGCATTATGCTCCAAGTATGTATTCACTTGGCTGTTCCACCACTGGAACATTTTTTTTTAAAGAGCCGTACTGGCAGTTGTGCAACCAATTGCATAGGCATGCCCCCCAGCATTGCTCTAATCTAAAGGAAAACCAGCTTTATAGTGAAGGCTTCTCGGAATGGTGGGGAGGGGCAGTGCTTGCATTGCAACATCAGAGTAGTTCCTGCGTGGTGCACCATTATTCTCGTAACCATGCACTTTAAACGGGGATGAGGCAGGTTCACTGGCCAAAGGTATAGGGCATGCTTGGTGCCCTCCTTAATGGACCAGGCCATAATTGTATGCTGACTTGTACTGAAGTAGGTGGGTTATGTGTGTGTGTTTTCATTCTATGTCTATCAAATGTGAGGAAAGTCTTGATGAGAGGAAGGACAGGGATGATTCTCTATTGTGGCAATGCAGAGTTGTCCAACCGGTTACCTTGTGACAACTCTCCTGTGCACATCATCAACTTGGACATCCAGGATAACCACGAGGAAGCCACAATAGGGGCATTTCTCATCTGCGAGATGGCACAGATGGTAAGTATATGTAGCCCCACACTCCATTATTGAAGGTGCAATACATGCTGGAGAAGCACTGCTACATCTCCAGAAGGTCAGAAATGGAAAGTCTGGTGAACTGAGTCAAAGCGCTGTCATCTGCAACCGCCATAGGTATCCCCTTCAGGCAGAAATTATGATGCACTGTCTACAAATGTGTGAAATTCACATAGCGTAATTTCAAGGCACTCAATCGTACATTTAAAAAAATATGTGTTGGTTTGTATTTGTTTCAGTAATATATAGTAATTAGCAGTAACTAAGTAATTTAAGTATTCTACTGCCAGTCATGTTTCATTTTGACAAAAATGGAATCATAAACTAAGGGTGTGCATTATTGGTTTTTTGTTTTATTCATTTCAAGAAAAAGTAATACCTTTAATGTTGCTTCTTTAATAATGCACATTGAACGACCCATCAAAACATCATTGCGTCTTCATCAAAACAATCAGCTACAGTGATACGCAGCATACAGAGATGGTTAGGTCGAGACATACAGACCATGAAAAAGGTTCAGTTGATCCAGTGACCCATACGTTTTGGCAATCAGCAAGCAACTGTAAAGGGTGCTGGTAAAAGATGGCATTCAGGTGGCACGCAAACACGTTTCAGCAATCGGGCGAATCTTGCCACGACCTAAAGACGGGCTGCCAAAAGAAAGATTTCCCAGGCTAGTATACATTGTTCCATGCACAAACTGTCACGCCACTTACATTGGTGAAACAAAAAAATCGCAGCATATTCATGGGGTGAATGATGGAGAGTGGGGCGAAGCATCCCTCCGTCCATTCGTTCTTGCTTCCGTCCGCTCATGCGTCCGCCTGTGTGACCGTCTGTGCATCCATCCGCCCGTCCGTGCATGCATCTGTTCGTGTGTCCATCCCTGCGTTTGTCCATGCAACCGCACCTGCGTCCGTCCATGCGTTCATCTGTTCGTGCAGCCATCCGTGCGTCCGTCCATGCATCTGTCTGTGTGTCCGTTCGTCCATCTAGTCAACACTCCAAATATCACCACCTCACATCTTTTCATCATATATTCCGCATATAGAAGCACCGCCGTCCAGTGGACATTGCAAGGACTAAACAAGAGGTGCGCACGCAGACTTTCTTACGGCTTGCGCTTCGTGTCTACTTCCCACCTTTAACCACCTCAAGTTCATGGTATAAACTAGTTCACTGTATTCATGGCACTGGGACCCAACACTCGCTAAACCTCTCTAAAACCAAGGAGGTTACGCCCAGCGAGTACAACATGGCAACCCTTTCTTGTCAGATAGTGCTCAATGTACATGCCAATGGCTGCTAATGGGGAATGAGAGACAGGAGAATTCGGCTTTTAGTTAACGTGCACGCTGTGAATTTTTTATTGTTAAACAACGCGCAGGAGAAATTTCCTACCGACACCACCTTGCAGGTCAAAGCGTAAGACATGTTACTGCGACAAGGGATGAACGAGTGCCGCTTTAAGAAGCTTCGCTTCTAAAAAACTTCCCGAAAGAGTACGGCAACATCAAAATGACGTGCTTAGCTTCAATGCTGCAAGGAACGCTCTTGCAGGAGACAGCGAAAAGATAAACTATCGCATCAATTTCTGCGATGCCTGGGTCACCAACACGGAAGGTAGCCGCACAAAAAGACAGTTCTTATTGTCCTGGCATATCCAAACAACACCTGGAATTATTAAATGCTGAACTGGAACCTTACCGAGTATACACTTGGTAAGGTAATTCAAACAACACCTGGAATTATTAAATGCTAAACTGGAACTAGCACGCAGACCGTGCAAGGTCTGCCGAACCAGTGGAAAAAACACCGCAGCAACAAGAATGACAGGAAGATAGACGATGGAGAGGGGGAAGAAAAATAGGAGGAAAAGAACGGCAGGGAGTTTAACCAGCCTATAGGCAGCCGGTTTGCTACCCTACGCATGGGAGGGGGAGATGAAAGATAGAGAGCAAAGAGGGAAGAGAGATAAACACAGCACATTCGGCAGCACACGCGCGCACGCTTAGTCATTGTCCAGTCTTGTCTTTCGCAGTGTGTGACACTGCTATTACAGCCGCTTGTTCAAGTCTGTGTCGTGTAGGAATTTCAAACAGAGCTTTTGTCACCTTCTTTTGCAATGTCTCCTCTCGGGCACTTGACGACAGAATAGTGTCCACAGAGATTTGGCTGTTGTCGATGCGCGCAAGAAAGGATGCCAGTGACTGTCTCTGGATGTCATATAACGGACAGTCGCACAGGATGTGGTGTAGCGTCTCTTCGCAATGACAAGCATCGCAGAGAGCATTGTCCGCCATTCCTATGACAAAGGAATAAGATTTTGTAAATGCTACTCCTAGCCATAAGCGATGAAGAAGGGTGGCTTCTCTTCGGTCGAGCCCAGTGGGCATGCGGAGAGCCATCAAAGAGGACAGGTGGTGTTGACGATTCGTCTCGTTGCTTGGTGGAAACCATAGTGAAAACGTGACCTCACGCGCAAGTCGTCGAAGATTACTGGCTGCATCGGTCCCCAAAAGTGGTATGGCTTCTTCTCCTGTCCTTCAAGAGCTGCCCGCACGGCAGTATCGGCCTGTTCGTTCCCTATGATGCCCCAGTGACTTGGCAGCCACTGAAACATCACATGATGCCCTTTCTCGTGTGAAGTGTGGAGAAGGCATCGAATTTCAAAAACAAGCTGTTTGTACGGCCCGCGACGCATTGCTGAGATTGAGAGCACAGATTGTAGGGCAGCCCTTGAGTCGCTGGAAATCTACCATTGTTGCGGTGGTTCCAGATTGACCACACAAAGTGCAGTGCGCAAAGCAGCTAGTTCCGCTGCTGTAGATGCTGTGAAGTTGTCAGTCCTAAAGCTGATGGTAACACCTCTTGCTGGGACAACTACTGCACCTGACGAACACTGGTGGTTCGTGGAGCCATCGGTATATATGTGTACACTGTGTGAATATTTCTCGTGCAAAAGAAGAAGAGACAGTTGTTTCAGCACGGGACATTGCTAAAAAAAGGCAGTAGCTTCGGAGCTGGCTGAACAGTCACCTATGAGGAAAGAACGGAATCAGTCCGGACACGTCGGGTCAGTTTACAGTTATTAAATTTTAGCTTAGAAACATTGAACTATTAGTAGCTAGAGAGTTTATTTTATTCGAAATTGCAACTGTTTTTCAACAGGCAATAGGTGGATAGCAAAATCGTGACTTACTCAAAGAATTGTAGGCTACGCTGACGGTCTGCATCGACTTCCGGTTTGAAGTGCCATGCCGCGGAATGGGCATTCTCGCCAATGCCGTCGCTCTCTGTGTGTTCCATTCAGCACTCGCGGTTCCCATTTCTGACAAAATTGGAGTGCTATGCTGTTTCGATTAATAACAAATGCAGTCTCTACGAAAAAGTTAATTTTTATAATCGTGTGAGTGGCCATACTTTCATTCAAGCGGCATGCACCTCTGGACACATGCTTGTTGTTTTGCTGCAAAGGGTGTTATTGCGCATAATTTGTCATATACAAAGACTTTTCTGCGCATCACAGCATCACGAAATATCCGCTCATTTGTTTTTATGTTGCTCATTAGTAAAATAATTTATCTTGTGTTGCAAAAATATCAACCCGCATTTTATATAGTGAATGACAATAATAAACTGCTTCTTACTGAAGAACTGAAATGTGGTTCATCTCCTTTAGCAACAGGCACCCTAATATGAGCACAAGGACATGCATTATCTTCGCCTGCATGCAGTCACCGTAGCCGAGATTCAATCCTGCCTCCTTCGGGCCCTTTGCATTAGATGTTCGTCACGCACTCAAACATGAATTGTGTTTCAATGCAATGCCTTACATACCTGCCAACCCTTCAGACTTTTCTGTAAAATGTACAAATTTCGACCGCACTTACGATTTTACGAATCTTGCCTGAAATATTATAAACACTATTTCATTTGTAATAAAAAAAATAAATCTAGTGAAATAGTGTGGCCTCCGCAATTGACTATGGACGTTGTCGTAGCTAGTTGCGGAGGCCACAAAATCGGCGTTGTGCTATATTTCGCCACCAGGAGAGAACAATATGTATTGGTCTTATCATCATCACATGCCTGCAAAGTCTCCCGCGTTTTCCGGGAGACTCCCGGATTTCAACCGTTTCTTCCGTTTGTACGGTTGCTAGGAAAATCTCCCGAATATCGAAATTTGTGTGCGAGATCTGGCCACTTTGACAAAAGTTGCAGCTCTGTCCGTTCCAGGCTTTTTGTAAGCCTACCCAATTTTATTATAAACGAATTTGAGAGGCATTCATCTAAACTTACAGTAGAGTCTCAGTGATGTGAAACTGCGGCAGGTACAAATTCGTGAAATTCCTCAGCCAAACTCATGTGTTCATTGGGCCGAAATTCGAGTGTTCCGAACATTTTTCTTAATAGCGGCGTGTGATATGAACGTTAGTACCGAAACCGTTGAAAGGAGGCTGATCGAGAGCAGCGTGCTCGAAGCTTCAAGCTTCAGAAGTATGCGTGCGACCAGCGCACGCAGTCTTCTGCGTGTGGTTGTCATTGCCACAACTGCTGTGAACGAAACCGCAGTCTTTCGACACGATCATCTATAGAGACAGATCTCTGAAAGTGTGCGCGCGGCAAACGCTCGACCTGTGAAAGCAACTCTGTTTTCCGCAAACTCTGTGGACAAAACCCCGGCAGTTGTGATCATAGATAGCATAAAACGACTTAGTTTTGAAGGCATGTGGATTGAAAAAAAAAACAAAAAAAACTACTGTTTGCTGCAATCGCTGCGCACAAAACCACAGTCGGGGCGATGCAATAGCGATCTACAAGCTCAGAAGGCACGTTACCGACGAAGCGATAGATTAAAGGCGGTAAAAACTAGCAGCGTTTGGCGTTCCTGTCCAAAGAATCTAGTAGCGAGCAAAGCCAAAGCTTTGGTCCGCTCTTTCGCGGCAGCCAGCTGCGCCGTCTCATCCATTTACGTGTGA